CACCTCAAGCCCATAGAGACTATGGCAGTGGCTCCAAAGGTTTCTGTACCAGAGAACAGCCCCCCAAGTTCCTCCTGCCTGGAGGACTGGTCAGGCCTCAAATTGCTCAAAGCAAGAATCCAATTCAAGTGGTTACATGACTCAAAAATACAGCAGGGGCTGGTGCTGGGCATTGGACCGAGGTCCGAGAAGCATGGGGGTGCTGTCTTTCTGTATAGCCAGCACACTTTGAAAACTCAGTGAGAAAAAAGCTAGTTGCCGTACATTCAGTTCTTGACAAAAGATAAAAAGACAAAGGTGTATCGTGTAAACTGTGGTTATTTCTGTATTCTCTTCCCAAGTCTGATAAAAACATTAAAAATGCACACCCATGAAGTTCAATAACACAGCAGCTGAAAATCAAGCTGCATTACCTTCCTCACCTCAATAATTCAGCTTATTATAGTGGCTCTTGGCAACTGTGCAGTCTATTTTTTCCACAGCTCTTTAATTGTAAAATGGCAAAGGTGACAATTACTGCTGCCTAGGGAGAAGAGATATTAAGAGGCTCTGTTCAATACACAATACAGGTCACAATACTTTTCTTTCTGCTCTCCGAACGCATTGCGACCTTTAATAGGAGCCATTATGCCCAGCCTTTTATTTCTTGTGTGTTTTTTTTTTGTTCCTGGCACATTCCTGTCTGCTAGGAAACTGGAGGCTTTGATTGTTAAATCCCACAGGGCTTGCAGGAAAGCATTTCAAACGGTAACTGTGCTTCAGATTTAAATCAGATAGCAGCGACTGGGGAAAGTGCATCGTTCCCCTCAGTCTGATCAGATCTGGACAGGTAGCCAGCTAATGGATCAGATTCCTAAGGCACGGGGAGCAGACAACAGGCAGGAATAAACACATCCGAAAGAATAAGACAAGATCACTTTATTGGCCACACACAATTTCTTGTTGATTTTTGCATCGTTGAGAATGTATTTCCAAATGCTTTTTTTCCCCCCCTAGGACACTTGGAGCCTGAGCACACACTGGAGTGTTGAGGGCCGGTGCTACGTTGAGTGGGCAGAGGAAGAGAGGAGTGGGGCACCTTGATCTCCAGCCCTGCCCAGCAGTTCAGTCAGGGAGGCATACAGTAACTGCACAGCATAACCGAGATGAGGTTCAAGGTAAAAAAATCTAAAATTAACGATAATTAGTTTTCAGAAATGTAGGTCTTCAGTCTCGTGCATGTCTCACAAAATACTTTGCGATCTTTTAGTTTGTATACTGCATCCCAGTGTATACAGTAAATAATTAACACAGACGCCACCCTGACTTGCTCACCGTCAGGGGTCTATAGGCTGGAGGGAAAGGCTTTCAGCTGGTTGTACAGAAGACATGCTGATCATGGGGCTTTTTGCTGAATGAAGGTCAAGAAAAGTAAAGGGACAGAGTGAAGTGTGTCTTCCGTGGTCATTATTGGTCCCTAGGAACAGCCTGAAAAATGGAATTAACAATCAGGTGCATGTAAGATGTTCTACCGGTCCTCTGCTGTCGGGGCAGTGGTGTTGAGCCGTCATCAGGGTCCTGGAAATGCAAGTGGGAGGTTGTGGGTTCAAAGCCCAGGTGAGATACTGTGTCTTTGAACAAGGTACTTCACCAGAACTGGCCCAGAAAAACCCAGCTGAAAAAAAAGGCACAAAAAGGCACAGGTCACTTCTGATAAAGAGGGTCAGCCACACAAACTCTCCATCCATCCACTTTCTAACTGCTTCATCCAGTTCAGGGTTCCGGGAGGAGCTGGAGCCTTTCCTGGCAAGCAATGGGCTCAAGTCGGGATACAAAATACAGGATCCAAATCAACTAACTAGAAATACATTAGTAATTACAGCATTACTAGGCCACAAACTTGATGCGCTATTACTAGTTATATTAAAAAACTGAACAAAACTACCTTACTTGATAACTGCCAGCTGTTTGAATTTTGAAATTTAGAGCCTGACAAGAGAAAAGACATGGAACTGGTGATGAGGGCTGTCCCACAGCTTGCGGTGTGTTGCAGGACTGTAAGACAAAGGGGAAAAAACAAACTCAATGTTGTACTTACCTTTTTATGTTCCTAGCGTACAACACGGAAAAAAAATAGAATGGGGAAAATGGTATCTGCAGATATTTGGGTGAATAATCGATTTGTAAACTGCAGCTAATCCTCAGTGTCATATACCCGGTTTAACAGTCAAAGCCACATTCCAACTCCGGTCCCAAATGTAAAGCCTTTCCACAGTGCCCCCTTGTGGACTGGAGGGGAGCTGTGCTCCCCATCCCTTCGGTAACATCAAATTGTTTTAAAAGCAATTACCCAAAACTTACACAGTATTATTATTTTAAAGAATGTTTTGCTTTTAATGTATTTTTGTTTTTGGTGTAATGTGGTATTTATTGGAGACAATGTGTAGAGAGGAGCAGGAGACCTTTAATTTGGGTCCTACAGTACTGAGAACTGGCAAGCAATGCAATAAAGAACAGGAGTTCCTTCACTTGCAGGATCTTAGGAAAACATACAATTTGTTTTTACGCAGGCCAAAGGTATGGCTGACATGCAGAAGCTATGTGCAGCTTCTGCAGAAGAGTGGGCTCTTTGTCAGTCATCATGTTTTCCTTCCCTACTGGATTCTCTTACTCCTCTGCGCATTAATGGTCAGTACCACTCACACCCCCATCAGCAACTGCCTGGCGTATTTAGACTCCTAAGGTAAGATTTGAGCTCTAGGTTTCTGGGGATTTTCTGTGTCTTGTTAAGCTGGCATAAGGTCAGCTGTCAGCACAGAGAAACAGATGAATGAATGGGGATGACATCTTAAGACACAAGGCCATTCGGCAAAATACAGAAAAGCAGAAGCCCTGGGAACAGCAAATGGGAAAGGAAATATTCTTCTACATACAGGGGAGGGAAGAGGTCAGTTTGGGACGTCTCTGAGGCCTACCCAGAGCTGCATAAGGAGGCAGAAGACAGAAGCTAAATCTGTCCACAGCAGTGAGCAGTGTATTGGTTGCTGTTTTGTGCCACAGTATTACTCATGCTTCTACAATACAGATGACCAAAAATGGCCAAGAGACTGGCTGAGCTGTTCCTTCTTCTCCTGGGTTTGGCAACTGACAGGCAATTGGTCACACCTGCTTGGTGTATAGGTATGAACAGCAGGATCAGCCTGTGTTCTCTTTGCAAGTGTCCCCCACCCCAGAAGTAAGTAGGGGGATAAGGAGACATGGACACCAGGGGAGAAACATTTGGTAAAAACAGAAGACAGCATCACAATGTTTAACATGTAAACAACAGCCACAAATCCATGAATAATCAATGACACCAGAATCAAAATCGTGAATGAATGCAGAGCAGAAAAATCAGCTTTCCAACCAATTACACACAGAGCTTCAATGGGACAAAACATGCCAAATGGATTGTGTAAAACCCAATTATTCAACTTTATTAACATCAAGGTTTTTGCAACATTTTTTTTTATTAACAAATAGAAAACAGACTGTGTATACAACAGATTTAACCCCTACAGCACTATGCATACACAAGGTAAAAATGAACGCGTTGCCAACATTTCAGTCCCTCGTATCCAAATCATCTCGGCTCTTGGATTTTAGTCATTCGGAAATAAACACTTGATTAAATGCAGAAATCCTCCACCATCCATTTGTGCTGCTTCGCTATGTTTAAGAAGGTCATCTTCTCCGACTCGGTGAGAGCAATGATAATACAGTAGTTTTAACATTGTACCGTTAATACAGATTGAATAACAGAAGTCCTCTTGTTATGGGGTTTTCCCCCACAATGGTTTGTCAAGAAAATCTGGGATTATTTGCAAGTGGAATATTTAACAATAGTTGCTGCTTTTGCAGGATAGCAAGAACTGTATATATGTTTATATATATTTATATATATATTTATAAAAATAACAGCAGGCCAGTCCAAGGGAAAAAAAAGACACCTCTTGATCCCCGGAAGGTTCTTTGTTAATGTACAGTAGGTCTTGATTTCGAATGTCGGGACTTTTCGTGCCCCCTGGCAGAGAGCTTGCTCCCTTCGGTCTTGTGCTCTCCATCATTTTTGCACGGCTGTGGTTCACACGGATGTGTGCAAGGCCAGACTGGAGCCAGTGATGTTACAGCTCACTGGCTGGTGTGCGAAAAACAGGAATCTGTGAATTCCAAACGTTTCTCTTTCACTGTGTATAAAGGTCTTGAAGCAGTAGGGTTTCCTTTTTGAAAATCACATTAAACAGCTATTGAGAACAAAGCTAGAATCTGTACATGGCTGATTTTTTTAAAATTATTTAATTCCTAATGGGTTTATATAGTACCACTAACTCTGGTTTATAATTTCTTTTTTCCATTTTTATTTTTTTTTATAAAGTACCAGGAAGTGAAAAGGTTTATAAAAGTTCAACTCCCATTTCCGCTGGATAAGACCAATTATACACAAGGAAAATAAAAACAACAATAATAATATGATCATGGTAAAAAAAAACATAAAATCAACAGCAGCTCAGAGAATAGTGGTTCTCTGGGATTAGTATTCAGGGACGTGCTTAAAATGCACATCCCTTATGCTAAAATAATCTACAAAAACTTTATAAAATAAAAAATAGTACCACTTATGGAATATAAGGTCCCATAGCATAGGCCTTTAAGACTCAGAAAATAATTACCAGTGTAAATGATTATACAAAATCTAAATAAACAATAATGAGAATGAGAATAAGAGTGTAAAAAAAAAATATTTGCTACCAGTAGCATATAAACAAAAGGGGAGGGATGTTATGTGCAGAGTAGAATCAGAAGAACGTTGTTAAAATCTCTGTCTAGGGTCTGAAAGCCTGCGAGGACCGCGACTGGGGGCTGGCCAGACGGACGGACTCCTGCTCGCGCCTCGTCCCTCCCCTCCTCTCGTCTCCTCTCCTCTCCCCTCTGGCAGCTTCTGGACACAATCGGGTGGGTGAATATGGCTCAGAAGGAACACTTCGTACTCCTGAATGGGCTTTCTTTTCTTTTCGTCATCGGTGGGCGGGGGTGGGGGGTTGGGGGAGGTATCCAGGAGTAGTTATGTTGCATAGTGATCGAAACTCCCCAGATACTCCAGTGCAGCCCGGTAGCACAGCTGGTACTGGTCCTGATGAGAGAGGGACGTTGGGAAGAGAGGGTCAGAAAAGAGATCACCTTCCACGGGAGTATGCATCCTAAAGGCTCTTCCCGACACGTATGGTCGGCAGCGTCGGCTCGTGAATGTAAGGAAACGCAGCACAGTGTAGCAGCTGTAGGGTGGGGCGGCACACCTTTCACATGTACTGAACCAAGGAACATCTTTCACTGTCTGAAGACTTTGAGACTTTTAGTTCTTGCCTCACAAGGTGCAATGCAAGACCTGTGATTCAGTTTTGATTCTGAAGGCAGCCGTGTAACCCCCAACGTCTTCCAGTCTATTAAAGAGCCAGGCTGCACCCACAGTGAAGGGAGACATGACTGGCCAGTCCCTTGCTGTGTGAAATGAGTTACGCTGGCAAAGAGCCTTTCTTAAAATGTGGTTAATAGTTCTGATGGTGAATACAACAGTTTTAAAATTTAAGTCAACATTCTCAGTCAGAAAGTATGATGCCATTAATTTCTGCGTAATATAAAAACACACATTTTCCCAAAGCAAGGGCCTCACGCTGGCTGGCCTGCCCTGCAGTACTGTACTGCTTGTTATTGTCACGTTCACGATGATATCACAGCTGGTAGAATAATCTGTTGATATAAGCTTCCATTAATACGTGGGCAAAGACATTGCAAGGTTTATCTTTTTCTCATTTAATTTCCATACCCCTGAATTACTTGTCCACATTTTGTAAAGTGGTGAACTCTGCCCCCTACCTCTGTCTGCACCATGGCTGGCCGCTGAGTCCGCAGAGTTTTCACCGTCTGGAAGAGGTCCACCACCCCCTCGTACCTCATGCGCTCCAGCACGATGCTGAGAGTGATGAAGACGCCCGTCCTGCCTACACCAGCACTGCAAGAGCAAGAGCAGGGGCATGTGAACCATGCCTGCAGCGAGACAACTACAGAGGACACAGACACTGCAGGAGAAGCGGCGACAGCCCAGAGGAGCAGCAGCAGCTTCAGGAACAATCAGGCTGAAAGCCTCAGACAGAAGTGAGGGAAAGAGAAGTAGGATGTTGCTAATTAATACAACCATGTTTTAACTCCACGAAGAAGAGGGATAAAGTTACACTGGTACAATGAGCTTGATGAGTCTGCTGTCTGCTATTGACTATTTGCCACTAAACAGAATCCGACTGCATTTTCAGCAGTAAATCTCAATCGATGCATTTATTTGTCCTAAGGATAATGCAGGCCAAATAATTACACACAGACTGATATCGCATCCTGAAAGGGAGACAGGACCTGAATGTAGGATCAGTCTAAGAGCTTGGTTCTGAAGCTCAAAGTAGATGTATGCCGAGTCTAGTCAAATGGACTGACGGATACGTCTCTTTTTATCTATACCCTCTCCAGAGGGCACTGTTCCTACACTACACAATCTCTTTCTCTGAGTAAAATAAAATAAAACTAATAGAAATCCAAGCTCCTGCCGACATCCAACAGAGTCCCGTTTTAACTTGTAAATTTCTATTCCTTAAAGGAGAGATACATTTAAAAAATAACTTTGAAAATAATACCATAAATGTGTAACAACAATAATCTTTATCAGCTGCAGTGCTGATTTCCTGGGTGCTCCTTACCTGCAGTGCACAGTGATTGGTCCATCCTGTCCAAACTGCTCCTTGGTCTTGTGTACTTGGCCAATGAAATCAATGAATCCCTCCCCAGTTTTTGGCACTCCTTGCTCTGGCCAGTCAGTGAACTGGAATTGGCGAATAGTTCTGGATTGGCCATCCTGCGGAGCCAAATATCAGGCACGTGAGTCATTGTAGCCACAGCCATGGCACTGTGAAGCATAGGACACACTATAGCATCACTGGAAATAACACTGGAGATGAAGCACAACCATTTTGTCTCCTTGATTTTCAGAGAGCAATTTGCTTCTTAATACCTAAAGTAGGTTACCCTTGTATTTCATCACACCCTTTACAATGTCTGACATTAATCATAACTAGTGGAGCAGCACTTTCCAGATATCAATATGTTTTCTTGTTGTACCTGCTGTGTGGTTTGTGGAGAAATTTCTGCATTGCAATACCCATTTCACACAAGCGCCATAACGAGAACAGCTCCTGAGCTCACAATTAAAATGTCAATGAGCTCTGACAGCTGCTGCATAGGAAACCTGCCCTGATTTACCGTCATCTCGCGCAGCAGAGAGAAAGGAATCAGCGGCGAGAACTGACTGATCGACATCAAAAGTCTCGACGGAGCACAAATTCAGCCAGAACCAAAGGATATCTCTGTGAGTGCATGAAAGAAATGCGAAGCAGCAGAAGCCTGCGGATCTATGAAACGTAGACTGTTTTTGTTACATGGAAATAAAGATATGACCCATCATGGTGAATCTGGGGTGTCCAGTGCTGTGCTCAATTTTCCCGAGCTTTCCATTTCCCTTGGCGGTTCACCGCGTTCCCACGTGGGTGTGGCGTCCGGTATTCCCCTCCCCCTCCTCCCGGGAGGGCCTGGGCCGGAGGGAAGGCACGCACAGGTGAACCGCAGCGGGTGGCAGGGCCTGATGGGGGGGGAGTGAGCGGGTGTGTGCGGAGGCGGCTCTACCTCCTCATCGCCGCAGGCACAGCAGGAGGCTGCTGCTGCCCACCCATGGGAGCAGTGCTTGCCTTTGTTGAATGTGCCTGCAAGGTCCCCTCCATATGGCATGCTAACAATGTACCTGGCTGTTGAGCCTGTGCATGAAAGCTCATCAGGAGGAAAACCTATTTTTACTATAGAGGACGTAATATCGGCAGGCAGTTTCCCCAAGCGTGCCTGAGATGCAATTGAAAACCTGGATACCATGACAGTTTAGCAATTTAAGATGGCCCATCTAGCAAGAGCAAGCAGTTACGGGGGGAAAAAATTTAATTTGATTTGCAATCTCAAAAACGAGTAGCAAATGTCTGAAAAGGTACAAAACCCTTGTAAGTCTTTTATAGGCATAAATCTGCCGTTGCACCGTTACGTTTGTTTACCTGACCAAGTGGTAGCACTGGATTAGATGTGATCTTTACCCAGAGGCCTCTGGGAGTCTGGAACAAGACACCCAGCCAGGCTCCTGAATCCGATATCCTGGCTTTTTTCAGGAAACGGCTACAGGAGCTCCCTGGATCGATAAGCTACTACCAAACAACCAGATGGGCCTAATGGCCTCCTCTTGTTTGTAATCTCCATGTCCCCATGTGCAGCGAGAATGCCTTACCCTGGCATCGGTGACCTTGAACTCCCTCAGAATGTACTGGGGCATGTTGTATTCAGCCATGGGGTCCACCACAAAGTACTGGTACCGGGCTGAGCGCTCTGCAGGCCAGTACTGATGGCACTTCTCCTAATAAGATACAGAAGATAAAAAACAAAAAATTACAAGCACTGGAGTGGTAGCTCAGATTGCCTAACGTACTAACTAATTATCTGCTAGAAGTGTGGCAGGAAATATCTCATTTCCTGCTGATAGAGAGACATTCCAAATGCCTGTGAGCCGAAGCAGAACAAGGGTGAAGCACATGCTGCACACGTTGACTTTGCAAACCGGCTCAGCGTCAGCGAAAGGTTGACACTCGCCATGAGAAAACCCACGCCCTGCGGCTCAAGTGGCGTCGGTCCACAGCTGTCAGACGGCAGGGTTCATGTTCACTGTTCACCGGCGGCACTCCAGATATCGCGTTAACGCTCTCCCCGCAATGCAGCACTGCAGGAGGGAGAGGGGCGTGCCCAAACCCGTGGCCAGTCAAGGGGACCGGGCGTCCAGTAGCACTTACCCGTCCCATTTCTCTCAGCTTCGTCAGCATCACCACAATGGTGGAGTTGTGCTCCCACAGCATTCTCCAGAAGTCCTCAGTCGTCTCTGCCAGGGGTCCCTGGGTGGCAATGTAGGCCTTCTGCTGCCTGCGGGTCACAGTCGAGAGGCCGTGAGGGGCTGGATGAGTATTTTTACAGCAGCCAACTACAGGTCTACCATGCAGACCCGCTGGGGCTATAGTCATGATCACTGCAAATACTTCATTCAAATATCATTTACGTATTTTTTTTTTAAATCAGACATATCCCTACGTGTCTCAGAGTCCTCGAGTACTGAACATAGTCTGTTCCATGGCAACTTGATAAGACACTCCTGAACCCTGATAGCGGCGCTAAATAATTCATAGGCTGTGAACTCCTTCCCAACAGACTGAGTTTCAGCAGTGGTCCGTCGAGTCTGCAGGCACTTATTTCATCAGTAAAAGCAGCACACACCCTGCCCCAGCAGAGGGCACTGTTACACTTTGACAGAGGGTGGGATTCACAGCCAACCTCTGTCAGCCAGTCTTCCTGCATACAGCTGCTGGTGAAAAACTAATGAAATGTGCTGCAGGGAAGAAAACAATGTGCAACTAGGAGATTAAAGTCAGCTTCAGGCCACTTTACTGCACATCATAAAGGGACTGCTGAAGAAGGTGCTGATGAACCCAAGGAAGAAGCATTCTTCAATTCTGGCCAGTCAACAACAGCTGGGAACAACAGGGACTGAGTGCCATGGGTAACCAGGACATGATGGTTTGTGATAGCTGTTTTCAGACAGCACCACTTTTATTTTTTAATGCGCTCCCCACTGCAAAGAGACATTCTTCACAGCAGGAAGCTGGATGCTCTGTGGCCGTCGAGTTTTATGTATCTAGCCAGGGGCTTGCAGACAAGCCTTTTGACGAATAGATGCAATCCCAGAGAGAAACAAATTTACCTTTATTTATTTGACTTAATTACTGCACATGAAAGCACTGAGACCGCCAAAGGAAGGGTTTAAGAGAAAACATCTGCCTCAATACATTGCCGAACTCAGAAGTGAAGCTACTCTTGCCAACAGTTGCTCAGCTGCTCCCTTATGAATTTCTTCCCCCAGGCAATTAAACACCAGGTTCCATTATATCCGCAACATGCGCAGCAAAGAAGTAAGGACTGCACTATCTTACTAATCAGCCAGGTCGATTTTTTTCACACTACCAAGGGCACCGGGACCTCATTTTTTATTTACTTGCCATGCAAGCACCTTAATTACAAAACAGCAATTACAAAGAACATCCCCAGGCTAAAGTACTCAGGGGCCTAGCAGTCAAAGGGAAAGAAAATTAAACTAAAAAAATACATACAGCGACAAAAAGAGGAACCAAAATTATAGAACAGTTCATTAAAATACCTTCTCGTTGGGAATTATTGCAATTATGGTATTTACACTTTAATAAAGGATGTTCCCTCTCTGGGGTGGCTTTCGTTAGGTTTTAATTTGATAAGGAATGGTAATCATGTCAAACTACTGATACAGCTCTTGCAGGAAACTTGCAGAGTTTACAGACTATCTGTGCAGCAAAGTTCACAGCAGGGGAGGTTTGATTTTATTTCTAATAAAAATGTATGTTTCACTCAATATGCAGTTAATAAATGCCCCTCCTGTCTTTGCAGGGGCTTTATTCTAAACACCGAGGCACTGCGAGACAAGCCGAGATCTGTCTGACTGGAAAAATAGATAAATGAAATTCGTAGGCTCCTCTGCAGCTCAGGGAGCAATAACAGCAACTAAAAAAAAAATGGGGAAATCACTTTATTGTCCCCAAATGGTATTTTCAGATTTTACATAAATCCTATAAAGCAGAATTTTAAAGCAGACTTATTCTTTGAACACCTCAGCTCAGATCACGGGGAAATCCAACTAGCTTCGCTTGAAGAGAAGAAAAAGATCCACACACGTACAAGAATAAAAAGATCGGTGAAAAGGGAAAGAGATGGGTGTCGAAACACGCTGCGAATTCGTAAGTGCTGCCTGCGGCTCTCTGGAAGCAGAGTGCACATGTCCAATTCAGTTAGAAACAGCTCACTGCCCAGGACAGTGGCAAGGCTCTCGGATCTTCGTCACCCCAGTAAAACATGCCCTGCGCGTGGTTATGTCAGCCTGCTCCGTACCTGTACCCATCGATGAAGCTGCCGTTGATGTAGTCGGAGCCCTCCACCCCTCGGATGGGCTGCAGACACACCCGGGTCGACTCGAAGGGCATGATGTTGACCAGCCGGTTTTTGAACTTGTTGCAGGGAAGGTTGGCACTGATGAACCGGGAGGTGTGTGCTTTGGAGTTGGCCAGTCTCTGTTGGAGGGAGGAACACAAGTTGAGATGGTGAAACAAGCCCTTTTTTTCGGTCTTTTTACACCAACCTGTTGATCTCCGAAAACCCCCGAGACTCCTACTCTTAGCTACTTCCCTAAAGGTTGATGTCGATGCTGCAAATGTCAAGGGATTTTTAAAGGGCTGCTTCTCCATGAGTCGCTCAGTCCTGTTTCTGCACATCTTCTTTGTGCTCAAGAGATAATCTGAAAGATGCTTCAATTGTCACAAGTTTCCTTGTAACTGGGATGCTAACGGCATTAAAGCTCTGTCAGTTATTGACATCTGGCACTGATTTGCCATAAGCCTTAGCCTGTCATGCTTAACTTTAAGCGAAGCAGCAAGGTTTGTCATCTTTAACTGGAAACAACCTTTAGATGCACAGAATTCTAAATTCAGCAGGGCTACAAAAACTCTTGATCTCATAAGACATAAAAGAATGGTTTCAAAATGGTATTTTTACCGTCAAAGTAGTTTTTTTTTTTACTCTGAAGTGGCTGATTCCTCAGTAAAAAAATACTTCATCTTTTTTATCGGCAAGGGCAAGTTCACAGCTTTGATTGGCGAGTCCTGAGGCAACTGTTTTACAGCGCGAGAGTGTGTCAGTTTCAGATGCTTCTCAAACAAATCTGGAGCATGCCGGTGTCAAACCTCATTATAGCCACTCTGGATTTACAATTATCCGCCTTGCTAAACAATTTCTATCCGTATAATTTTAGCTGGTGAAAGCCCAAAAGGAATCTTTTTTTCCGCGGGTGTTTACAGTAGCCCCCTTTCCTGATAATGGCGGGGGGCTGTGCTGTGCTTTGGCAGCAGAGCCTGTGTCTGATGGAACAAGGTGCTGCTGCTGCTGGACACCCCAGCGCCAGGAGAGTACAGCTGCTCGGCACTGTCCTGGTGTTCGCAGGGCAGCATCAGTGTCTGACCAGTGAAATCAGTTGAGGCTCCCTGCATAGCCTGGAGGTCCAGTAAGGTTGCAAAGGTTTGTACATTTTTTTTGTCGGGGTGACACGTACCCTCCAATGGATTTAATGCAAGTGAAACTGCACTGTAAAAGAAATAAGGTTCCTTGAAAGCCGAGGAACTAGAAAGTCTCTCCAGTCACACCAAACTGATTGTGAAACTCGAAGAGTACAGGGGAATCAAGGGCTGACAGGCATTAAACAACAACAACAACAACAACAACATAACTGATGTTCTCAAGTCCCTCTTTTGATTGTCGCCCTCCAAGCTCCTCCACAGAGCGGCTGTTACCTTGAACTCCAGTTCCATGGAGGTGACCGTCTCCCCCGGAGGGACCTGGGTCAGCTTCTGGATGTGGGCGTACAGGTTGCGCGCTGGGACCTCCGTGTTGCCGCAGGTGGCTGCCTCCAGAAGAGCCTCGTGGATGAAGATGTACTGGTCCTCCGTCTGCACCATGTAGTTCCTCTGGGAGCGCATGCAGGTCACGTGGCCGTAGATGTCCACGGACTTCTCGTGCTTCATGCGCTCCAGCATGGCGTCAATCACGATGAAGCAGCCCGTCCGCCCAACCCCCGCGCTGAGGAGGCACAACAACAAGCTGTTAAGCGGAATCGGATCGCCTGCAAGCCCGGAGATCGCCTGCGTCCTCAACCTTTCGATCTGGGCTGCCTTCCAGAGCCTGGCTTCCACGCAAATCCACCCGTCAGCAAACTCTTTAGCAACTAGTGTTGTATATGTAAGAAACTCAAACACAAACACAGGGAGCATGTTTGTTTTGCACCAACAAATCTCACCGATACCTTCTAATTATGCTGAAAGAACAATGTCCTGACATCTGCAACGTCTGGCTTTGCATGCCTGACCTCTTAGTAGCATACAGGCTCTCGCAAAACACAGAAGACATTTATGACTAATGCTGTCTTCTTTTGATATGCCGAAATAAGATCTAAAAAGATCATTTTGCAAAGCGAGCCACACTGGGGAGTAAATTAAACGAAAGCACTTATTTCTCAAATATATCGGGAGTGCGGTAGTGGTTTATTAAGCCTTGCTCAGTTTCACAGAAGGCTGATTGTAGAGAGAGCTGTATACAACACCGATCACTTTCAATGGTTCATCCTAAAAGTTGCTGGGATGCTGTGAAAGCATGCAGTTCAGCCCACGGCACGCAGGTGAATAGGTGGTGCAATGCCCGGAGCAGAGCCTGTTGTTTTGTTTACCCAGACCCAGAAACATGTGATGGGGCCTCTTGCCTGTGCCTCTCGCTAGCTGCCGCGGCTGTCGGGCAGTGACAGGCTGCAGGGAGCGGGCCTACCTGCAGTGCACCACCATGGGCCCGGCGTCGGGAGGGTTGCAGGCCTTCACTCTGCGCAGGAAGGCCAGGATGGGCGTGGGGTACTCGGGCACGCCGTGGTCTGGCCAGGCCATGAACTGGAACTGCCTCACCTCCCTCTTTTCGCTGGAGCCATTCTGGGGGCACACAGATAAAGAGTCTCTCTCAGCATACCACATATTGCCTTCCTATGCGAGAATGCACAGCTGAAACCTTGGAATTAACATCCCTGGAACGAAGAATCATTTCTCTCCTACTGTTTAATACAAACACAATTATGAGGGCAGAATTAAGACAGGATGACTACATACTTCACGGATGCCCAGTCCACGTGGATTGTTGACTTTTCAGCTTTAGCATAAAGTGGTTAAAAGCTCCTCACTCAGGGGAAAAGGCAATGCATCTTAACTTACAAGAACCGTTCAGTATGGCCAGTGCTGTGTTTGGAATTCATGAAGCTATGAATTTTTCCACTCAAGCGTGCCTTTTTCTTGAGTCAGCTGCTTCTCGAGCCCGGGACTCTCAAAGCCCCAGTGGCTGCAGAGATGGATTTACACATAAATGACTCGAGAGCAAAACAACACGACCGAAACAAAGAGCCAAATAAATAATGCCCCCCCCCCACGTATCTCGGTACTATTCGTCTTTGCGGCACGGTTGACACAGAGGCGCATGGGAGGGAGCTTCGTCTCGTGTGCTGTCTGTTGCTCACCCCGCCCAAGTCATGTGTGTCAGCGTGCCTTTTAGAGTAATAGCGAACAGCGTGGGAGCCGCGGGGGGTACCTAGCAGGGCATGACGAATCCCAGCCCATCTCCGGGTACAGCAGCACAGTCCTGCTGGCTTCTCTTAACACTCGGGAGCCCCTGCCACTCGGATAAAAGTCAGCAACAGGGAGCCAATGGGTCTAAACACTCAAATCTGAGATTTAATAGGCAACCCAGAGGGGGAAAAAAAACAATCAAGATAATTACAATCTCATACCTTGTAGAGAGCAAAAGTGCGGACGCTATAGGTAGCCAGTTCTACAGTGTCCAGCATCGTGACTTGGATCATGCCGTAGGTCTCGGTGCCTCGGCTCGGCCAGTACTGGTCACATTTCACCTTAAGAGAGAGAGACCGAGATTTTCAGAATGCTTCTCAACCATGGAGGTAAACAAACCCTAACCAGACAATGGAGTCAAGAGCTCCGACGGCGAACAGACTCCATCACATTACTGCAGGTCCAGGTTGCTTCTGCCCCCCTCTATCAACAAGTTGCACGCTCTGGAAGTTTTTAATTAACCGCAGCGAAACAAGGGCACTTCGAGAGCTACCGCCTCCTAACAAATAAACCGCTAATGTGCCTGAAGTACATCTGCTTTGGAAGTAGACTCTCACAGCCCCCTAAAGACAGGTTAGCCATGCGGGGGGGTGGCATATGGCTCTGTAGGCATCTTGTGGGTTCGAAGTCCCGAGTCTCACCCTGCTTCACGCGGGGAGGGCACATTTGGGGGCAGAGGCAGGCGGGGAGGGCCTCAAGAGGCAGGCAGGGCTCGCAGGGCTTCAGAAGGCGAGCAAATGAGAGCGGACAGCTTGAGCAGCTCACGCCCGGGTGCCTCTCCTCTCGGGCCCAGGCAGGACAGCAGGCAGAGAGGGGAGCCTGGCGGAGCCGCAGCCAGGCCGGGGGCGCTGGGCAAGAGCGGCCCAGATGGGGGAGTCACGCTAGACAAACTCCACCCCGAGGACAAGCCACAAGCCCGGTGCAAGGCCCGCGGCTTTCTTTGTGATTTTCATAATGTTTTTTTTTTGTTTTATTTTGGGGTTGGGGGAGTGGATTAGAACAGCAGCTTGTGCCTTTTGGCATTTGTTCCTCTTAACACAAAGATGCACTCCAGGTCAAGAGGAAAAGCGAACTTAATTAAAAAAAACAGGACGACAGCTCGGATACCATCCAGCATCCCAAGCTTTTAAAATGAACAGACTGATGGGAACATTCCTATATACTGAAACTTTATTTAAACTTTCTGGTCTCCGTGGCTAAAGTGTTATACTCGAGCTGAGCTGCCGTGCGATAGTCCAGTCGTTTTAAGGAATCCTAATAGGTTCCCTTGAAAAACAAACACATCTGATAGAGCCAGAACCACTTCTTTTGAAGTGTTTGTGGTAAAAACAGGGCGAAACAAGCAGTGAAGTGAACAGTCCCCATGTCTGAAGTGTGGGGCCAGGTGGCCACAATAGGGAGCTTTGACCCGGCAATATGGTCACCCCTCTCTCGGAGCTCCCACTGCAGTGCTTTCTGTTTTACTGTTGCTGTAGGAGCTTAAGGTTATTTCCTCACTAGCAGGTTTTATGTTGGATTGAGACTGCTCATATCAGGGTTGCGGCTGCAGGGAGGTGGGTGCAATACGTCTTAATGCACAGTGACGCTGGCTGGGGTCACACAGAGCTGAATCTGGGGCAGAAGGTGTGTCGCTCTCTGCCGAGCTTGTGGAGGCAGCTGGAGCAGGTTCCGCTAATTAAAGGGGCTCGGGGTGTGAATGTGTGGCAACTTAATAGGATCGCATTAATAGGTGTATCAAAAAACCATAAATCCTTCAGATCTCAGCAGCTCCTTGCAAGTGCAAGGCAGTCAGTTCTTCTCGGCACAGTAGCAGTACTCAGCCTGTACTCACTTATTGTATTTTATGTTGTGCTCTGAACTGTGGGCAGCTGAGCAGTGTCTTTAATTAGAAATCGATACATCTCAGTTTTCTAATTGAACTATACTCCACGCCAGATATGTCTATCCTAGTTATTTATGTCGGTCGGCGGGTGTGTTTGCTGTGCCTAACGAATCAGAATCCTTTGTAGTTGTCAATTCATGCTGTTTTATCTACAACGCTCTAAGCAAAGCGGTCTGACAGAATACATAGACAAGATCGTGTGAAGGCATCTCTGCTGATCACCTGCAACAGTGGCAGCTGCTGGAAATTGGTTTTATTCAGTGGAAAGACTTAACTGATAAACCCCACTGGAATCTCAAAGAGGCTGGTAAGATCCAGGAGAAAACCAACCCTCCCCTTCTCCTGTTAGCTGCTCTGTAAATACAGGCGTGACAGATAGGCTGGCAAATCAATGCATGTGCAGCCTCAGTCACATTTACAGCAACATCTGTTTAGATAAATTACCCGTTTGTAAGGAGCTTTAATTATCTAGATATGACCTCTGCACATGTGTAGGCCTGCATTTTTATTGTACGTACTCTTGTTTTCATGAGTAGTTATTCACAGTTTGCTCTATCACCCATTATTTCCAAAAGCACATTGCTCCTCGGGTCATCTCTGTAGCTTAGCCCTGAAGCTGTACAGAAAATGGCTCAATACACAATGATCTCTCTGCTCCCTCAGTTCAGTGAATTAGTCCTCCCGCACAGCTCATGGGACTGACCTGTACGTGCAAGTTACTCTCGCCTTTCATTTGAAGGCATGGAAGCCCCTCATTACAACCGATAGCTGACTAATTCATATATAAAATTAATTCAACCCATTAATCATCTGAATCTTAAAGTTTAAGGTTCCTGTGCCACAAATTAGATCACTAACTGGACAACATCAATCCCACCAAGACCCTTTGCTTTTTAACACTACTTATAACAAAGACCGCTTTTAATTGTGTGCGACCGGACCCAGTTGACAGGTGACCGCATGCGAGCCGCATCGCTGTGCGCACATCACAGCGAGCGCAGGTCCGCCAGCCGTCTCTCGTCACAGCTCACCCTGGACTTCTCTTCCAGCCGGGTCATCATGATGATGGTGTTGGTCCGCTGCTCCCACACCATGCGCCAGAAGTCGCTCAGGGTCTCGGGCAGTGGGCCCTGGGTGGCGATGTAGGCATTCTGCTTGCGATACCCATCAATGTAGTTGGCGTTGATGTAGTCGCTGCCTGGCACACCTGTGGGTTGACGAGCTCATGTCTCATGTCGTGCCAACAGGTTTAGATTGCATTCGTAGGGGTTTCCTTTTTTCTTCCCCAAACAGCATGCCCCTGGTTTAAACACCGTCTCTAAAGAATATACTTTCACCAAGACATCTACAAGGCCGAAAACGTTCACGCCCACAACATACATCATGACACTCGGAGCTTTTTCTGTGCACAAATCTGCTCAGCTTATCATAACACCAAAATAAAAGCTGATTTTCTAAAATGACATTTCAGTAAAAAACAAAAATATTCCTTTTTCCCCACACCTTGGATGTCGGCTTGATTTTCTTTAACCCTTTTTTTTTTTTTACAATGTCCATCAGAAAAAACAGAAGCAAGCTTACGGTATAGGAAAGTTCAGAAAAGTTGGGTTCTAAACATTAGAAAATAATTGTCACTGTCAATGACCAGGCCTGTCCTAATCATCGCGGCTAATCACTTTAATGTAAGCTAGCACTCTGTGTACTTGCCATCGACAGAAGTCAGGATGACACGGGAATGGTCGTAGGCGATAACATTTGCATAGCGGTTCTTTGGTTTGTTCACCTCCAGGTTGGAATTCTCCCAGGTGAACTGCTGCCCAGGGTCAATAGACTGAAATAAAAAACAAAAACAGACAGACGTTAGAGCAGAGGGAACTCTTATCCTAAAACGTGAGCCCCACCTTTGTTCAGATCACTTCTTGGGGAAGCACCAAACACTGCCACCCTATGATTTCGGTGGCTTTTCACACTCAAGGTGATCTTTATTCCTGGCACTGATGAAGAGGAAACAACGATAAAGGTGTGAATGGTGGGTCCGGAGTCTTGCAGCAGGTGAGCAGATCTGCGCTGGCCGTGGTCTGATGCGCCTTTTCTGCCAACAGCAGAACAGCTTCCATTTCATGAACAAACCAAGACCATTGCCAGAGGGTGACCAAGCAACCCTGTCTCAGAAAGAACCGGCCCACTTGATTATTTTTATTTTGCAATACTAAGAGAAAGAAAAAAAACCCCTTTCTGATGCTAAAAATACAGTTCCAGCCATCCAACATCACAAAGCAGTTTTATAGGCACTCTGACAAGGCGTCCTGAGTGGGAATGAGTTCACTGAAACTCATCTCTCCGACGGCCATCCTTCAGTAAAGCTGTTAAAGACATCCATACTGAGTGCCTTGCAAAATGACACTTTTTGGAAGCAAGTCCCATTTTATAAAATAAAAAAAAACCTTTGTCCCTCAACAACAACAACAACAACAACAACAACAACAACAGCAGCAGCAGCAGCAGCAGCATGGGCTTTGTTCTAGAAACAAGTCATTTTTTTATCTCGGAAAATACATTTTCCTTTAAAAGGCTCTTACTTTGACTTCAGAAGCAGGCTGATTTCTTTGTCAGCCTGTTCTTGCTTTTCATCATTCTAATTCAATGCTTTTAAGAAGAATGACTTATTATCTGAAATTAAGCTATTTCATTATTAATAAAAAATGACAGCGCTCCCTGCGTCTTCAGGCAAGGCATGAAAAACTTCCTCACAGCCTTGGATGTCTTTGTAAAGTTCAGTCACCTATGTTTTCAGTTGGTATAGTAGCCAGTTTGCTCTTCAACATCTTAAATCCCACCTAGTTTCTAAACTGTTTTATGAATCCCTTTACTAATAAAAAAAAAAATCAAAATCGCACCTATTCGCAATCAAGATGACAAAAAAATCTAAGGTTTAAATCAATGACTCACTGTTCATGGCATTTACTTTCCTGTTTTGTTCGCTTGACTGCGATTAGCATTTTAATCTATTCCTCTAACTCATTCATTCAGGTAATGGAAGGATTTTTCTCCATAAAGACTTAGAGGAGCAATTTCATAGAGGGCCCCATCCCTCCAGAAAACACAGAGCCTCTTCCCGATGAATTAAAGCATTTTTAAAGAATGGCCTCCTCACTCTTAATTGGTAAAGACCGACATTAATTTGGATGGCTTTGTTCACTACTGTAGAGATTTTCTGCTTCATTTCAGCAGGCTCCAAATACCAAGCACAGAAAGCACTTACATGTGCTAAAGACTTATCCCTGACAAGGTATTAAGTAAGGTACAGAACATTAGGAATAATTTAGATACAGATGAGCCCTTTACTGAACACTAGACTTTTCTTCTTCCAGTAATGCTCATACTGGATTTAGCAGCTTCTTGTTATTTAAACTTGACCTTTAAGCATCAGATACCAGGCTATCCTGCTCAATATCAATCACTGCACAGGGTTTAACCTTCATCCAATCCCAGAAGTAATACACGCAGATGTTATGCCCACAGATCAGTCACAGGCCACAGCAATATGAGAAGTACCATCTACTGCCTGGTTTTTCATCTGGCAGCATTAGCAAGGAAAATCTTGAGCAAAAAAACAGTGGGGCAAGGAAGAAGGCGGTTTACATTAGAAAATGAAATGCAAAAAATTACTGCACTTGTCACAGATGAATTTATCTTTATGTGCATGAACAGACATGCAGTCAACTCCTTAAGTGTTGCAATATTCAGACTTAAGTATTAATTGATATCCAAAACAATTCTATTAAGATGTGCATGTCAACTGAATACAGAAATACAAGAATCATTTTACAAGTCTGTGAAAGTTAAAAATACACAGGGATCATTTTTGGGACAGGCATCCTTTCTGGCAGTCTGTTTAAAACCAGTGTCTTTTCATGTGTGCTCAAGATCAGATTCCTAGCTCTCTTCTCCCACCTGCGTAAATTGCTACGGTCTATAAATACTCTGTGACAACATAATGAAAGAAGGAAATAAAAAAAACTTTCTACTGTCCTACTTTTGATGGATTGTCTGGGCTTAGATCAAAGGGGCTAGATGGGCCAAAAGGTCTCTTCTCATTTGTAACATTTCTTAAGTTTGTGCAGTTGCAGGTACCTAGATTGTTTACATTGTAACCTTGTGGCAATCTTCATGAAATCAATTCCAGTTTTTTTATATAAGTCTCAATATCATGTTCAGTGTATGGCAGTGGGATGAAGTGAAGGAATTAGAAAACACAAGTCTGTTAAGAGTCTGGAAGGGCAATTTTATTGTGAGAGAGGTGTTGCTATCCTCTCATTACAACCATAACCCAATGTGGCATTACCCAGGGGTATGTTCAGTGTGGTGTTGGAGCCCTGGATTAAGGGGGACGCGTTGCCTTCGCAACCACAGCTGCCCTGGCTAAATAAGGATGAGTAGCAGCTGTGGGGCTCTTTCAGATACACTGGGCACCTCCCCAGAGGGACGAGCAGAACCCCGCAAGGGGAGACCCTTCCACTGACTGTGACCGAGCGGAAGGCCGTCATTTCCCCTACGTTTAACTGTCTTTGTCTTTTCGCCTATCCCGCCATGCATCTCCACCGGGGGAGGCTGACCTTACACTGCAGGACAGGGGAGGAATCTCCCACCGCCACAGGTTGGGTTCTCTTTAGTTTTCGCCTCATGCCCCCTGTTCTTCCAGACTGGACCCCGTTAAATAGGGCAAGTCTAGTCTGGAATCCGCTGTGCCGAACGATTCTTTTCCCCAGGCTGGACCCTGTTAGATAGGGTAGGTCCAGCCTGGACGCCGTGGTGAACAGTGGCACATTTTTCTTTTTTTTTTTGTTTCTCCCTTTTTTGCTCCGGGTTAGCGGTGCCTCCGACCCCTCAGATGGGACGTTGACTTTCAGTGGTGTTTGTCGCCACTCCTCCCGGTGCCGCACTCTTACACCAACTAATTGGTTGGTCTTTGCTTTGAGAGCTGTGACTCTTCGGAATCAGGAAAACTGTATTTTAAATCCTCCCTTAAGGTTAAAATGTGCTACAGTAGCAGTCATGACATTCGTAAAAGATAAACAAGTGGAGGAAATGTAGGAAACAAGTCCTGAAATCTCAGTCTTCAAATAGCCAAGCTGTACCTATGGATCCTGTGTTCCTTATTACTGGATCATTTGTTATAACCAGTCCTGGGAATAATCACAAAAAAAAGTCCCAGAAGTATTACCAATACCACGTACCTGTGTGACGGCTTTATTGTTTTTTTTTTTTTACTTCTTATTGGAAATGTACTATTTTCTGAAAAGGCTGTCGAGAAGAAAGACAAAAAGGATCTTTCATACTGGCAACCCGGGCGCTGGTACTGACTGCGAGAGAGACGAGGATCCCTGGCCCTACTGGTTACCGCCAAGTACACACACAGCAGCTCTCGGCAAATGAAAGCTTTCCTGGTGGCTGTGTAATGAGCACAAAGACACGCTGGGTTTCCTGCCCCTGACCCTGTATCTCCCCTGGCCTGATTAAACCTCTCTCCTTGCAAAGCAAACTCTCAGCTCTGCTCGGAAATGAATAGGTGGATCAATGAGAGCTGACAGTTTGTCTAGGAGAGTGGCTGGAAGACATTATTTGCCGTGTTTCTTAGTGAGATCCCTGAAAGATGCAGTACCAGACTCAACAATAAGCTCCACCAGTGCCTAGTGCAAAAGTGACTGCGTAGTATTTATTTAGTGCCTGTCTCAGTTTTTCAGGACAACGTTCTGACAGGGGGCCCGAGCAACAACAACATAAAAAAGCTCAATACACAAAAAAACATTTAATGTAAAAACTCCCCTTAAAAAAACAAAAGGCTGTTATTTTAATAATTTGAGAGTGCATTTCTCAGACTTGTCGAAACTGACTAACTTTTCCTTCGGAACATATGGTCCCTCATGTTCATACCTGGATGCATAATGAAATGTGACAATCCATTTCAAAGATGGCCATGTAAAAGCACAACAGCAAAAAAACAGGGTAATTTTTTTTTTTTAATTATTGCACAGCTCCTGCCACTCCTGCCATTACTCAATCTATATATAGCAAAAAATCACTGAAAACAAACTAACAGGGGCAATCCTTTGAAATTAACAGAAATGTTAAAGATATCAGCTTGTTCTCCTGCTTGGTGTAAAAGTAAAAGCAGCAAAAGCTGTAATAACCATCTGTCCCATTGGGGTGGTAGCTGGTGAAAACATTGAGAAGTAATCCAGTCTTACACCTGACAATAATAACACGCTAATTAGATGCTGCACTTGATTAAAAGCTGATGCTCTAAAGAGTTTTCTTCTTATGTTAAGTACGCAGCTCGGCAAATGAATTTATTTTCTACAAACACTGGTTAACAAACAAGGTTACGTCCTCGGGGAAGGAATGGCCAGTTCTCCTAGTGACAATCCCTGCCAGAAAATAAAAACTGGCAAAGATCAGAACCCTAAAGATCAGAAAAGTATTACTGTAATCCATTCAAAGCTTTGGAGTCACTGTCTTAGAAATGCAAATGAAGTGTGTGCTGCAACAAGAGTAGCAGAGCAAACACAGGTACATGGAATGACTTTGAATGTCAAGGCCACATCAGACAGTGATAAATATGCTTCATGTGTTGCTCGGGCACATACACATTACCTCCTGTTCCTGCTACCTCATTCCTCTTCATCCTTGCAGAAATACCAGCTGTGAGCAGAACAGGAATTCACAGCCCCTGGTGACATCACCAGCACCAATGAAAATACTTTCTTAAGTCATCTCTGCCACTTGACTACAGACAGAGGGAAGTGATCTGCTTCAGGATCAATGCCTGGCACAGCTTCAATCTTTTTCCCCTTAGCAGGGTGAAACAGCATTAAACAGGAAGGGCAAATTTGTAAATCAAACTGGGCAAATTAAATACTAGGCTTCTCTGCTTCTCAATGGAGCTGGAAGAGGATCATGCCAAAGTACAAAAGAGGCTACATTAATGGACAAATCGAAAATCAGGTGCCCACCACTATAGGTATCATAAAGCTTTGCATCTCTCATCTTCTATGTCAGCCTTATAAATAAAACACCACTGCCTGAAATTAGGAGCACATCAGATTGTATCTTATGGAGATGGAGGGAAAGAGACAGAAGTTGCCCTGGCAGTTTGCAGTTTGAGATCCAGGAGCTCTCTTCAGACATTCGGAACGATTTCAATCCCAGAAGGGAGGAATGAACAACGTGTGAGCCGACACGAGCCTCTTTTCCCAGGCCAGCACAAAAAATGGTTTAATACGGTTTACCATCGCAGTTCCATAACTCAAAAAGAAAGTGCAATCCATTTATTTTAAAATAATGACCACTTTAAAAATATATCGTATATAGTTACCCTAGTAAAAGTGTAACTGTATACTGTAGGAACCTAGAAAGGAAAGGAGCTAACTATTAATTGGGTTCTTAATAGACTAACACACTGGTGCCCACCTCCATTAAGGCTCGTTCTTATTCTTCAATGAAACTGTGAATTATTAATACAGAGAAATATTTCACAGGAGAGACCACAAGGGAATTTACAAACCCAGTTATGAGGCAGCAGTAAAAAGCCCTCTCTTTGATTTGAAAAAGCAAACTGTATGAAGATGGAAGAATGTGCTTTATTTATACATTAACAGAGGGTTGACAACATTTAGACTTCATTTTATTGGGAAATGGTTCAAATGCCAAGCAGTAAAAACGTAATATGCTGAGGTTTTAAGTCCTGGTTCACAGCACGCATTCATAAAAAAATTGCAGCTGAGATTTTATTTATGACATTTAAAAGAAAGAGGAGAGTGTGGGATGGCTAAGTGTGTGGCAAAGTGAAAATAACAAGGTACAGCACTATATATCCTTTGTAGGAGGAAAAAAAGTCAATGATTCGTGTGTAATTAGGGCAAAACTACCCTACCTTTGCCAACAGGAAAATTACAGCTTTCGGAATTCGAAATTTCGCATTCGAAATGTGTTACTTTAAATGTGAACTTTTCTCATGCTGGCATTCCACCACACTAGTCCTGCTTTAGGGTTCAGAAAAGAATAGGGTGATAAAAAAATGTGCAGGGTAAAAATAAAAAATTACTGTAAATGTGTCCAATAACCGTGGTCAAGTGATTGAGTGTTTTTTTTTCCATTCTGAGCCACATTACATCAATTATTATAAAACTCCCAAGGTTAGGAATGTTTTAAAGAAAGGAAAAGGGCTTGTGATTTTCTGCTCAAATACAGAGGTTTCAGTTCAGGAGATCGGGTGCAGAGGGAAGGAGAGCCAAGGAGTCGGTCAACATTACTAACATGCAGCCCTGATGGAGAAGATTGAAGGAGAACAGCAGCTGACTCTATAAGACCACAAAAAATATCCAAGAGCAGAAGCTCTGGCTCAGGAAATCGCAGATAAACGACATTAAAATACAAACAAGATGCCAATTGGAGAATCATGCACAGTCCAGTTTTTCTGCATTTTTAAATCACTGCGTTTTCATGAGGCTGGGAAACCATGCTTTATTTTGTGTCATGCAATTTCAAGCTTATTTTCTCGTAATAAAGAAGTTTGAGAGGCGACTTTCCTATTTTCGTAAATCTCATTTCTCAGAGGCACCAAGTGTCACTGATTGCGGCAAAATATCAGCACGCAGAGGGGCTCAGCCAGCAAAGCATTCAGCCGTAATGCCCGTTCTCTCCAGGGCCTGATGAATTTGGTCTCTCGTTATTTCAAACATTTTTTTCAAGCACCCCATCAGTGGGGGAGGTTTTAATTTAAGAGCATCTCAACTGCAGAATTAGAGCTATGCGTGATTTTTCCCGTTAATGTAGTTACAATAAACACCCTTGTCACTTTAACAGGAAGAAAAACACAGCAGAGATGCAGCAGGAGCTGAACAGTTCAATAAGAGAGCTGCTAGATGTACAGTACTTATTTTCCATTCTTAACGTGCAGGATAAGAAGATGAGAAAAAGGCCCCTGTTTATGGAGAGTTTCATGCACCTAAAAATTAAATATTAAGAAACCAAGCAAGTCTGCATACTGATGGCCAGCCTGTGTTTGTGTTAAAAGCCCAATTAAAAGCCCTGGGAGCACCAAATGCAACATGCATACTGGGGGCTTAATTCTTTTTTTTAGTGCATTAGGAAGTCAAGATGCATACTTCAGTATATTTCAATTTAATACATCATTACACGCTTTAAAAACCAAATGATATACAGAAGGAAGCTTATTTTGACTCTGCTTTTTCCTGTTTATGCCGATATAACATTTTTTTAGTTCCATGAAGAAGATAACATTCACGTTACGCACAAGCGCAATCGAGCCCCTCTGTTCATAGAAACCGGCCAGAACTGACCTGCGGGTGTCTGGTCACTCTTCTGGGACTCATTCTTGCCATACAGTGAAACAAAAACCCGAAAAGCCCCTTCTGCCCTGCGAAGGAGCTCTTACCTCGTACTCTTGGGAGAAGCGTAATCCGTCGTTGGCCTTAAGCCTCTCAATGTGGTCGGCGAGGTCAGAGACAGAGATGGGAGGGTGCTCTCTCATGCCTGGGTACGAAGGAGACACGAAAAACACAACAGAGGACACAAGTATGAGGCCGGGATGAGCAGTCAGAAACAAGTGAACAGCAGTCACCGTATAACCCATAAAACACGACTCTGCAAAAACAAATGCATGTTGGTGGGAAGCACAGAGCTCAACAATGCATGTAAAAAACTCACTCAAGTTACAAAAAACTCTGTGGCATGCTGGACAGGAGTGAGAGTGGGCAAACACTGACGATGGGCATGAGCAAGTGAGCATGCTCACTGGTTAGCGCCAGCGCTGGCAAAAGCAGACACTTAAAGAGTTAAAAGTACCAGTGAGGTGTGGAGGGGCATTACAGGAGAAAAGCAACAAAAAAACCCACAATATAAAAATGCACTTCTGTCATCTTTCACTGGGCTGCCCATGATCATTCTCAGACTGGTTGTCAAAACTGTTCATAACTATAATCGACATGGTACTCCGAAAACAGCAAAACTAAGATACCTGTAAAATAAAATGCACTGACAGATCTAAATTGCTTGCAGCGTTTGCTCTTACTTCTTCAAGCGAAACACTGATAAACACCTTCTCGAAAATTAATTTTCCCACACAACAGATTTATTGTAGGCATTTAATCGATGGCTTAGAACTTATCTGCCAACAAGAATTTCCTTCACCTTTGAACATGGCAGCATTATGCTAAAAGGGATTTTAAAATGCATGACATGCTTCAGAGTTTAAAAATGCTCAGCGATCGTAATTTTGCAAAAACTGTGTAACCAACAGCACAGAAGAAATTATCTGTATGCGTCATAGACCAGGCTGTCTTGGAACAAGACTAAAATAATAGTGGCTTAGCACTCAAAGTAAAACACCCGAACAAAACAAGTAAACAGATCTGATGACTCTTGTGGGTAAAGGCTTATAAAATCCCAAGGAATAATGAGAAATTACTCATTTCTCTGTCTCCAACAGCCTTCATTTGCCAGTCTTTACTTTTGCTCAGTTACAGAATATTGTAATGTTACCAACTGCCAGTCAAAGAAATCAACTGTACCTGAACATTAGATAAATTACAAGATTGATTTAGCGTCAGGCTTTACATGCAGTAAGATCCAACACATGTCTGCTAACAAAGGAGTCATAACACTAGATCAGCCTTCGTTCACACGTTCATAGATAAGAAAAAAGAGTGATTAAAAAAAACTTCAATATTAAAGTTCTTTACATAACCTATGTCCTTTACAACACCCTATTTGCAGTCCAGGGGGTGGGCACTAGGGTCAGTTCAGTTCCCTGTTATTGCAAAGAACTGCAAACAATTAAATTACAGAGTTTGTAGCATAAATGATTGTTGAATTATTAAAAATAAACCAGGCATGAAGAGGCTGTGTTAAGTAAAATGACCCTGCAGGCCCATCTGGGGGCAAGAATTAGCCACATCTCACGCTAACAGAACAAGTTACTGCACCCATTTGCTGCAGCAATTACTGCTTATTTTTTTAAACCAGTTATGAAAGCCAGCCTGCGAAGAGGAAATGAGTGAGGAAAATAAAATTAAACTGGACCCATTAATCATGTTAGAAATCAAATTCACAGACACAGTACAACTGCTTCTGAGTGGAAATGGCCTCAAGACACACCGAGGGAAAACAAAATTGCAGAGAGTGGGGGGGAAAAAGATGAGAGAGATAGAATGAGGGTGAGACAGATGCATATAAATATAGACAGGAGCAGTAAGAACTAACTTGAAATGTTCGGGCAACTGGGGGCACTGGGACCTGTAGAGAAGAGATTGGGGGAGGAATAACAAAAAAGCTTCTTTTATTATTTTAATTATCGTCCGCTTCCTTTAAGTGAAACCAGAGCACACAGAAAACGGTACTGAGAGCAGGAAGTGCAGGAGACAGGGGAGGAGGGGTTGGCAGCCACGCCTAGAGGAGCACCAGAGTGATGCAGGGTGACAGGGAGGTACTGGAAGCTCAAATCCAGCAGCTCCCAGGCCTGCTGTTGGAACGCACTGGGATTCGAGCTTTTATCATGATCTTCTTGCTGAGGCCTGAATAATTTAACTTTTGTTTTTAGCTTTGAAGCCACTGCTTCTCTTTCCTTGCCTTTGTTCAGGAGCCATCAGAAGCAGGGCTCACCTCTACTGGACCCACACAACAACAAGATACTTTAACGATGAACCTGCGGGCTCTAACTCTTCATAAAGCAGGAGGGTGCTTTGCTCTTTTTCTTCGCCTACCTTTCATTTGTTAGTCACTTTCTGAATAGCTGCCATCTAGTGGCTGCACTGTTTATTCTGCTATAACCTTGGGAGACCAAAACTGTACTCTGCACACGACCTGGTGTATCCTTTCATTACTCGTGCAATTAGGGTTTCATGACTCCTGTTTTATTTCTGAATGTTTTCATTGCTTTGGTTTCAGTGTCAAGTCTTCTGGCAAAGTTTTTTTTTCAGATTTTTTTATCCGTATTGATTACATAAATGAAACCGAGACTGCTGGTGTGAATCACACAGAACCGCAGTTCTGCAGTTCTCTTTCTACGAAGACTCATCTTAGCAGCAGTCAGGAGAAGGGAGGAGGACAGAGACAAGAGAGACAAGGGAGCTGAAGAAATCGAGGCAGAGAGAGAAATGGGCAGAGCAGTGAGCTTTGCAGTGGTAAAAGAATCTTCTCCTATGAGTCAGCCTACTTTATTCCTCTATGAAGTTCAAAGGCACAGGATAAGATAATGAGTTTAGCAAATGAATATCTAATTACCGCAGATTGTTGTGGTTCAATTAAAGAGGACAGAATTGGGAATTCTGACTTCTTTTCTTTAACACTTATTCTTTCCTCTCTAATACTTTTGCCCCGAGCTTGAAAGCAGAGTAATGGGGCTCATGTCTCATTTCCATCTAAATGAAAAAGACCCAATTGTACCATTCCACTAATAGCTGTCATATGACTTAGTGCTAGCACTACATTAACTGAAGTTTATCGATTGGTTCAAGCTGCATTTATTAGGAATTATTATTTTTTTCCCCCTGAAGATGGCTTTGCGTTTATTCTGCAAGTTACATGCTGGAAACAATTAGTCACAAATAAAGAAGGAAGAGCCAGATGACTTGCTTCAACAGTGAGTTTGAGGGTTATAGTGGTACAGTTACAAAATCCTGCTAGCATCGCTTCCAGACACAAAGCAGTTCACAGAAGCAATACAGGTGGTTCTTACTTCACCGCCAAGTACCATTTAGAACAGGCAGCCAAGTAAAATTGCAGAAAAAGACACAGCCGGAGCTCGGATATCAAAGAGCACCGAAATTATGTGGCACGAATCGCCACCACAATGGGTCCCACACCGTGACAATTTTCTCCGCTGTGAAAAGAGCGAAAAGAGTCCGTCTGAATTGGGAGTTAGTGTCTCTTGCTCAGCACCTCACTGTGGCTGCCACATGAAGAAACAGTGCGGAAAGCGTCATGCGGCCCCTCTAACTAGCAATTTCCCTGCTCTGTGAACGATACTTTGCCCACTTGACTGACTGCCGACTAGGGCATGATTTGCTCGGCGGGTCTTCTGCTGATGGACATGAAGGCCCTTAGAGCACACGACTCTGGAGGGGTGGGGGGCCGGAGGGGACCAGTGGTTAAAACGGGGGCCCTGTTCTTGATCCGGCCTGTCCTCAGCCCCCTTGCTGACAGGATAATTGCGGACAGAGAGAATACCAGGAAAGTCACAGTGATATGCTGATAACAGATGGCTTGAGGTGCCCATTTTCGCATTAACGCAAATTCTTTCACATGAACTCTCCCCTTCCTGGCCTACACCACGTACCTATTCCTAAGCGGCAGGAAAGAAAATAAACTCAACGGTAAAGCTCATTCCCACGAGCACGCTGAGGGGAGTTTACTCCAGGGTCAGGAACGAGCTGCTGCGCCCTTGCGCAGGAAGGCACCTTGTCGACAATGCGATATTGCAAACAGAATTGGATTCGCATAGCCGTTGTAGGAGAAGACACCTGTGTTCCTACTTTCTGCTTGCCTGTGTTATGGAACTTTCTGAGTACCCCCCCCGTTTTTCGACTGGAAAAAGAACCGAACTATAAACAAAAGCTATAAAATAATCTCTGGATAAATGAACACTGGCCGAAAAGCTCCAGACAGGAAAGGAAGTGTTTAGCTGAATACCTGCTTCTCACATCTAACGCATCAAGCTTTGCTTTATTCTTGTCCTGCACTTTGCTTTCCTTCTGCGACTGATTCTGACCTGTCTGTTAGTGTCGTTAAAGTGGCGTGTGGCTGGATGCGGGAGTGAGGTGTTTGCTCACGTGGATGTCATGGGGCGCTCAACCCCAGTGCCTCCCAGCTCACAGTAAGGTGCTCAGTCAGGACTCAAGGGCCCCCGGTTTTTCTACATCGGCTCCAGAAGCACCGGACCGCCTTCACTGCCTTTCGGCCGCAGGAACCGGCTTTAAGGCACCTCCTTCAAGTGTGTTGTATTTGGGCGCAGGCAACGCTCAGCAAGAACGGCGGTTCAACGGCGGGCCGAACAAAACCAGCGCATTTGCAACAGGCTGCCATTGAGAAGTGATGCACCAGGGAAAATGCAAATAGTCCAAAGCCCCCTTCAAAAAAAACCCACTCCCCACTTGACTGCGACGGGTAGGTACCTGGGGTCTGATGATTGAGCCTCCGCATCTCCACGGGGTCGGAGGAGTGGGCCAGCAGGGAGTCCTTCACCCCCCCGGAGTGGTCATCCTTGGGCGATGGAGAGGCCCGCTTCCTGGAAGAGTGGGACAGGGGCGTGTTACAGAGTGCAGCCGGCAGAGCAGGTCACACCCATGTCAGCGGCTGTGAGGCTGCTTCTCCATGCAGACATTAGGGAGTGTGGATCCTCTTAATGCCAGAGTCGGCTGGCATATTAATTGCACATTAATTCTTCCAGTATGGTATGTGACTGCTGCAGAGGGAATACAATATAAATAGCAGACTTTGTTTTGATCTTACCCGCATCAAGACAAACAGAAATGACCTGCCTACACGCGTCTTAATAAAGTCATAGAAAAAATGGAAATGAGATGATTCTTTCTACAAGGAATGGACGTAAAAAATCAAAAATAAGAACTATTTGGTTTAGAAAGTTGCCTTTTATAGAGAGAGTAGAAATACATCTTTATCTTGCACGCATACTTCAAAAATATCACCATTTCTCATTTGCTATTAAAGGACACAATTAATTTTTGTAGCTGGATTGAATGGAATGTCTTGGTTTCAGGAACGCTTGTTAAACCTTTAATTTCCAAACCTAACTGAAGGAAAAACAAGCAGACACTGTAATTACTGGATCAGCTGGATGACACAACACTGGCTAATTACACTGTTTCTGCACCTGTATTTATAAGCGTGTTTTCATCAGGTAGTTACACATATTTGGCCGCTCTGCATCTGCATGCTAATTGGGAAAGGAACACATCTGTCAGCACTCCAGAGATCAAGATCCGAGATGGGCGCCATGCAAAAGCCGTACGCAGGAATTTCACAACTCATTTCACTCCATTTACAATGTTCTGAGATGCGTTTAACTCCCTATCTTTAACTCACTTAAAATAAAAAGAACACAGATCTGTGTGGGATATAACTTTAGATTGTAAAAGCTCTCATGTCTCATCTCCAGTCCTAATCTTAATTCAGGGATGCAAATGTTGCTAAGGATCAGGCCCAGTTTTGTTATTTTTCACACTCTTCGGAGCTGCAGGTGGGGGAGAATGTAGGTATCTGGCTGCAGTTCAGGATGTATGCTCGGGACCGATGAAAGGCAAAGAGGAAACAGAGCAAGAAAACTAAGCCCTGTGGTTTTTCTTACCTGTATTTATCAATGACATGTGACTGAAGGAAACATCAGCTTGGGCAATCAAAAAGGGAAAACACTTCTGTGGCTGGCAGAAAGGTATATTACCCGAGAAAAAAGTGAAATGCATGTCTCTCCGAGTCATGACTTGGAGGACAAAGTGAGGGTTGCTAAATGGAGATGTGGCATGCCCAGAGTAACATAGCGTACATAGAAAATTACACAGATGGGGGGAAAACTGCATACACGTCTTAATAGAGGTAGCTGTGTTTTTCCTTTGAACAGATTGTGATAAAAGAGCCTGGAGTCTCCAGCTTCTGATCATTCACAGTGCTCAAAAACCTTTTTGACCAATACCAGTTTTCCACAACAGGGACAACTGGCAAGAGACAAGACTGACACAACCTTGAGAAATTAAGCAGGGTAAGAGGAGAGGACAGCGCATGGAGTTAGGACAGTGCAATGCCATACAGGAAACAGTACCCACCTTTCCTGTTTGCTGCATTCCACGAGAAAGCAGAGGGAATAGAAGAACAAGATTAAGTTACTGTCCACCACAATCTTGGGTGCCATCTAGCATCTGCCCGACACCATGGCTTTCAAAGGAAACAACACCTAGCTTTTCACTAACCCTTGGATTTGTGGTTCATTCTCCTGTCCATTTAAAAGATGGGTATTCCCTTTGTTTTTTTAGGGATGCTGTACAAGAAACGGCACATCTCACAAAATATGGTGCACACATAAGCAAGTTCACAGTCGAGAAAGAACCTTTTGGTCCATCAACCCCGTTTGATTAGTTAAATGATCAAAGGGCCTCACTCAGACATTTCTCGAAAGAAACCAGGGTCCTGGATTCAACGGCATGGTTAGGTAACTTGTTCCCGACTCCTCTGCATGTGTCTTAACCCTTTGCGTAAAGACACACCATGCACATCGTCTTGTAAGTGGAACATACAAAGGTTTTCCACGAGTCATTGTCTTGTGGAAATACAAAAGAAATTTGATTTTTAAGATATCAGAAGTACAGGCCTGAACATTCATAATACTCTCCGGGACTCTATATAGTGTTTTCCCAAGGGAATTAAACCAGTGATTTTTCTTAACATTTTTGTTTCTCATTTTCAAAAGGTTAGATTGTGTATTAACACGTTCAACCATTTGAAAAACAGCCCAGGTATCAGAATTACGTTTTTTTAAACTCCTGCTTCCTAGCAAAAGCTGAGCAATATGTACATACATATATATATAAAACTGAATAAAACTGGAGGAGGGAAGGCAGTGGGAAGAAATTTGCATTAACAATAGAATAATTAGATGACATCATGTGAAACCGAGCCTTTTAAATGCTAAAAGCTTCAAAAGAATGACGTCTGATGTGTTGCACTTCTCTATTGAGAACATTTTTAATTTTGGCATTTGCTTCCCTTCTCTCTGGTCTGTGCTTCCGGGACACGTGAAGACATTTCGGTGTTATTTTAATGGAGAAGTGGGCTCACCACCTTCAGATTTTAGACTCATGTCATGTTCATGAGTCACAGTCTCCCAGGGCTGGCAGTGCTATATTACCAGTACAGTGTGGGACAGGGGGGTGGGGGGGCTGTACTGGATAATTCTGTACAAGATTGCAGTGTGATGATGTCTTATGACTTCTTTTACTTTCTGGTGATAACACACCAATTCCATGGAGTCCAGACCCTTCTTTACAGGGCTCTCAAACTCAGTATAAATAAAACAATGACTTAATAATTCTTGGCATATTGATGACTTGCAGATTTGCAGGTTCGATCACCTTTAAATTTCCAATAATGATGAGGTTGTTGTTCGTAAGGATGTAATGTCTGATCAGCATTTCAAAAACAGCAACTCCAGTGATAATGTGTTTATTAAAAAAGAACATCTGTCAACAAAACAACTTTGTACATCAAAATGGTCTAGTAAAATAATGTTTTAAGGTCTGCGGAGAGGGAGAACTTTTGTGCCATATGAGGATGCTTTTGTGAAACGGGTCAGAGCAGACGGTGCCACTTTACTGTTGCTGGATTCTGTTTTCTGCCCAAATCAGGGCAACACCACAGCACCAGTCATTGATTAAGACACAGTGCAGAAAATAGAGCTGCTTTCTTTAGCTGCTCAGCAGTTATCAATCGGTTCTATTATTAGTAATTCTGTTGTATAGTCCCCCATAGCACGGCAGTCAGCATTTCAAGATTACTAGCCTAAGGATAATGGCATCCAAGTGAAGCAGAACTCATAATTATTTACCAAGAGAAAACAGCTTACTAGGGTTTCACTTCATTCAACATAAAGAAGTCCATTTTCTTTCCCACGAAAACCAACAAATTTTCCAGTATATTTATGGACACTGAGCAACCTTAAACTTTCAGAGGACTAATATCATTAATGCTTTTGGGCTTCAAACCCATTATACAAGAGTTATTCCAATGTTTCGAATTATTCTATTACCCCAATTTTGTGAGGTAGGAAAATAAATCCAAAATGCCTGTACATCAAGTATGAGATGGTAACTAAACCATTTGAAATTTGAAAAGCAGACACACTGGGCAAAAATCAGTCCTCTGTCCAACATGTAAGATAACTGGACCCATCATCCATGGTTATAATCCCTCATAGACTAACAATGAATAAATAAACCTATAAACTCTTCTATAGAGAGTGAAATGTCTGTAAAACATTCCCCTTTTTACAGGGGAGATGGGGCTTCACAATTTGGCCTACAGTGCTGGTTCATCATACCCAAAGTCCCATTTCTGGGAATAGTTTAAATAGCAAATCTGCACTGGGATCAGTTTACAAGAAGTATGTGCTTCCCTGATCTTCAAGCAGGTTTTATAGGGAAACGAAAGAACGCCAGTGAGCAGAAGGCTGGAAACCATATGAAGGTCTACTGACTGAGCAAATACTAGGTTTAGTTAGGCCGTCCAGTCCCAGCTGGGATGAAAACTACAAGGCACTGTGGCTCTCCCAGGCATCAGGCTGGAGAGCATTGCTCAATAAAATGTGAAACACACTCCTAGCAGCCGGACTACGTTAGGGGCAGCCTCACCTCTTAAACAGCAGGATGGCGATGACAATGATGATGATGAGGATGACGGCCAAGACCGGCCCCATCACCCACAACATCTCCGGCTCCTCCGGCTGTCTCGGCATCCTGTTGACCACCTCCACCGTTATGGGGTCTGAGTAAGGGCTGGCCGCAAACGTCTTCTGGAAGAGGCAGAGAGCAGGACAAGTTGTCAGGAGTTAGACAGGAGCCAGGGAAAAGACAGGAGAAAGAGACAGCGCAGGTTCGTGAAAGGGCTAGAAAGCTGTGGGTCATCACCTAAAGGGAAGCGGTGAGCGTGAAGGACCAGTGAGAGAGAACGCCCGAGGGTAAGGAGAAATGAGGAGCGCCGAGAGAAAGACAAACGGTTGTTTTGGGTTAAGAAGAGACTAAAAGGGCAAGAATGTCTAAACAAAACAAACAAAAAAAGAACAACCAAGAACTCAATACAAAGCTGGAAGCAAAGGGAGCAAAGTCAGGTGCTTGCCATGCAGTCTGGGAAAGCTGATAAATTATAGAGACGAATACTGCTAATCTACTCAGAATTAAATAAGAAATTAACTATTTGTAAAAGAAAATTGTCATTTAGAGCAGAGTGTTATTAATTCTGTTAGCCAAAGGTAAGCACGTTTGCACCAATCACTCAAATAGAAGGCATTAGAGAACTCTTTCCACCCCCCAATGCACGACAGAGAATATCTCATGTGTAAAAATATGGCAAGTTCTTTTTCAGGATTTCCAGGCTTTTAAAATGATTAGTTTTAACTTTATTATTGCAAAACTTTAAATAATTCTTAAAAAAATTATCAGTGACACAAAACCAGATCAAAAGGTTCCAAAGTAGTGCTTTGAACGTCAAAATGAAACCAAATGTGAAAATATTGGGGTTATATAATTTTGTTTGTGGTCTGTTTATGATTCAAGTTTTAAAATTTCCTAAACGTTACAGTGTGGTGATCGACTTCCATTATGAATTCTGAAATTGAAAAAGCTGCCTTCCCTGGCTCTGCTCTTGCAGACTTAAGAGTAACCAAGAGCCAACGACCAACGCCTTAAAAACCTTTCAAACTTTTTTTTTCATTTCTATTGGATTAAGTTTTTGAGTCATAAAAAGATGGAAGACATCTATACGTACCCATAACAGATAGAAGCTGACTTTAAAATCTTCAAAGTGAAATGACATCAAGCCTACGGCTGGCATCTAAGCATTTTAGTAATAAATATGAACCAGTGTTTGGAAGAAACCAGAACTATGCAAAAACTGGGGAATAAGAATCAGATTCTCTACTCGAGCACGAAGCTGTGACTGCATACAGCATAAACACAAGGTCTACATTGGTCAAGCAAAACAAGAGTTTGTTTCATTAGCAGGTTATCAAGTACTTCAGGTTATTAACATTACCTGCAGAACTGAATCGAGAAGGACGGTACTACAATGACCACTTAAAACAAAACAAACCAGCAGAAATCTTCTTTCTTTCCTAGTGCTACAAGAACACCCCCATCCCCCTGAAGACACCAGCCAGCTATTTTGTTAACAAAATCGGTCCACAGTGAACTTTAGCCAATGTGACTAAGCTGCGGGAAAGTGAAGGAAATGTATTTTCAGGATAAAGGGAATTCATTGAAACACCACACTGCCGGAAAAATTCACAATTTCAACACCACTCCTTGATCCACTTCTGCAATAACTGACATCTACGTACTCCTGCTGTGACAAGTTGCAGGCTAGAGAGAGGAGCAGAGTAAGGCTTTCTGCTCTCTTTCACCCGTGGGCAAGCGCCTTCTCTGGAAAGAACCCTGTGCCCCCAGCAGACTGTGTGAGCGAGTTTCTGAGCCGAGCTGCAGGGGTTTAGAGTGCAGCCCTGACAGCAGAGCTGGATGTGATTACAGACTAAGAGAATATGCTAAGGGGTACATACACCCTTAAGCTTGTGGCACAGCTGAAGACAAGCATGGGAGCCTACTCACATGTCACAGGAGGAACAGGACTGGAAAAGCAAAGGGTTTCATAACCCAATTTAAATGCCGCCCACCCCAGTTTCTATTCCTGTGCTTCTGAGGTGCACTTGTGGTTTGTCATTAAAGCACAGATGGGCCAACCACAGCCCAACCAGTGCCAGCAACTGCTGCTGCTCTAGAAGGACAAGGCAATCTAATGTACACCATCCACCTCGCTCTTCAGTAGATGCACGCCCCTCGCCTGGGAGCCAAGCGCGCTGCTCAGTCCTCAAGTGAATGCTGAGACACACACCAGTGTCACACACTAGATTCCTGCCATGTTACAGGGTATTGTCATAGTGAAATCCTAACGTGCACCAGAGGTATACAGAGGTCTATGAAACTCCAAAAAGGAGTCCTAAAGAGATATAGTACCTTATTCTTTACAACTATATATTTTAATGTAGCAAAAAGACTACATTAGTAGAGCACAATAATGGCTAGCCAAAGAATCTTATCACATAAAACACACTATAAATTTGTTGTCAAACTATAAGGTGATAGGCAATTAATCTATGGCTTTTATATAAGAGTTTAAGGGGGATATTTAAAAAGTCATACACAGAAATTATATGCACATCCTAAGGTACTTTCATAAGTCATTGGATAGAGTTCTGTCATGTTGCTCTCCAGTAAATATGAAGAATTATAAGTGAGTAGTTTTAATTAATGCCATCTTTGATGACTTTAGACCTTTGTTGTAAGGTTGTGACACGCCATCTGTCCACTGATACGATTCTGTTATAAAAAAACCTTGAAGACTACTGCCAATTAAAATCTCTGTTTATTAATTACCAAGAACAGCCCACTTTAGTAGGACGCTCATAGCCATTTCAGCTTAATTTAGCTGTTTGGAGAGTAAGCTAATACACTGCTCAAATCTGTGATATCTAATAAAAGTTAGTCAAATTAAATTAAATGATTAACATGTTATAATTAATTTTAAGCAACTGGAGCGACTGTCAAATCAAATTCCTACTGACAGGTTTGCTTGTTTTATTATATGAGAAAAATGTGCCTATAAATATCCACTCTCCCAGATGCTGAACTAATAAGGAATTCCACAAGCCACCCGTAAAGGACTTTGGCAATTGGCTTCTAAAAATGTTATGCTGCAGCACAGCACCTTGAGCTGAAGCAGATGTTGAAGTATTAGACGGAAAGCTAGCTCAGTAGTGATGTAACAAACAGCGTTGCTGGTCTTTCTCTTGCCTCTCCCAGGACTTTTTTGAACAAACTGACCAGCGTGCAAAGACTCTTCTTGTGCTGAGAAATCACAGCAGGCTCCATTTGCATGCTTTCGCTTAACAATGCAGTGAGACATGCCAAGACACACTGGATAGTGAAATGCCAGGCCACCAGGACCATAAAGAACCTGAGTACCACGACACACTTAAGTCTATCTGAAAATGGGGAGTTTTGACTGGCTGAGTGGCCTGCTTTTTTCACAGTTTCCTAGAGTTTCCTTATGACAGATCATGAGGGTTAAGAGAACGAACTCGCCACATTTCAAAACAGTCCACATCAATTTAGCAAGTGGCCATTTGCGAGAGCAGCAGTCAATTTTGACTGAGCTAATGGGGTCAAGGTTAAAAACGGGAAGTGTGATTAATGGCCACCTCCTACTCAGAGATACAAACTCTGTTCAGAGAGACTGAAGGGCATTTATTGGCCACGTCTCTTTAAAAGATCCATAATTTAATTTCAATTTGATTCCACCCCTAATAAGATTCCAGGGTAAAAAAAAAAGTTTCCAGCACGCTCAAAGAGAGACAGTGTGCAGTTTAACAGTAACACTTTTAAAAATAAGAACCTTAGTCATACCAGACACAATCTACAAAACTGCCCCAGTACACAAAATGGTAATGCATCCTGTTTATCAGAGGCAAGCAGGAAGGGAGCTGCAGGCTTCTGACGTACAGAATAAAGTCTGGTGGCTGACCCCCACTCCAACGAGCCCGTGCTCTATCTCTCCCCCCCACCACACGGCCTCCCTTCATTGCTTTAAATTATCACACTGTTTATACACTGAGCATCTATCATCCAATTTCACACTTCCCAGCTTGTTTACCAGCCTCGGGAGCTACATAAAGCATCCGTTTTTGCCAGCCTTGCACGACTCTGGCCTGTTAATTGCTTGTGCAGGATAAGCTTGCAAAGAAATATGAGATTATTAGCCCGCGGTTCAATTGTTTTGCCTTTTCTTTAAAGTTTGTTTTTGTAGTAAATTAAATATCATTAATTCTTATGCGGCCCTTGCCTTGACATCGCTGCCCCTAACCTGTTGTGCTCTCAAACCAGAAACGTGCCCTATCTCATATGGAGGTGGAAATGCTAACACTGGCTGTGCAGGCAGTCTGAGAGGAATTGGATGGCTCTGACGTCTTGTACAGGGTGGGGCCATTTTCTTTCAATTTTTCCAACAGAAAGGGATGATTAATGCCAAAATTTTATGGCAACTCGACAGCTGGCTTCAAGAGGAAAAAAAGAAAAACTGTCATTAAGTCATTTAAGTATTTTCCATATTGTGCATGCAGCCATTTTTCTTGAGTCAGTAGTACAGAAATCCATTTTTGGGCTGGTTCAACATAGATGTGCCCCAGTTAGGGGTCATATTTCTTATTATCTAGTGTAGGATGTCTGAGATAACATCTCCTGCACTACTGACAAATCCCACTCAATCTGAACTGTAAACATCTTCATTTTCATATATTTGAAAAATAGCTCAATAGAGAACATGGGTCACAAAAGCAGTGTCAGCATATTACTATAGTCAACAAATATCCCGTCTTCCAGCAAACATCCTATATTTACACACCTCTTTCTAACAAAAACAATTACTTTGGAGAACACAGCGCGTTCAGGAACTTAAAACTTTTTCCACCAGGACAGATTCATGGAAGGTCACATTATTTCCAGGATGTCAACCCTATGCGTCACTGTTACGTCCCAGTGTGTGTTCTGTGTGTGTTTTTTCTGTTATGTCCACACTGCTGACCCTTGATTGTTCTCCCTTCCCCATTGGCCAACCATCACACCACTGTTTCAATATGATGTCATCATCAATCAGCCTTCAGCCAATCAGAACACATTTTATTCACTATATAACATGGAGGTTTTCAGAAAGAAAAGGCCTTTCGTTTGACTTCGGTCCCGTTTGGTTTTGGTTATCGCTTCGCTTCGCTTCGCTTCTTGTTATTGCTTCGGCTTCGTTTGTTGGTTTGTTTTGCTTTGTGTGTGTGTATTTTCGTATAGCTTCGGCTTTGTTGTTTTGTTGGTTTTTTGTTAGTTTCTTTGTACTTTCATTTGTTTGTGTGTTCATCGTTGTTTTGCCATTTCCTTGCCCCAGTGTTACATGTTCAACTTTTGTGTTCTTTTGTACCCTGCTCCTGTTTATTACTCTTGTTTTCCCTTATTTGTTTTCCTGGTTCATTTGTGTTTTTGTGTGAACTTTTGTATATAAGGTTAGTTTAGGTTGTTGGGTACACTTTACACACTTAGTTGGGTTTGTATTAGTACACTAGTTTAGTACGGGTGAGTGCCATTTGTCTTGTATGGTTTTGGGTAGTCAGTGCAGGTTAGCTAGGGTGTTGAAGACGCCGAAGACCGTGTGTTTCGGGTTTTCTTTTGTAGTCAGATTAGCTGTCCCTCACTATCCTAGCCAGCTCCATTTTGTTTGTTATTTTCTTTTCTTTGGCACTACTCTAGTTGCTTACCCTTGTTATCATACTTCCTAGTCCCTCACCAAAACCCCCCCCTGCTTCCAAAAGAATTATCCTAAATGTTACACCCCTTTACCCCTAGACACTTGGGGTCGTAACAGTCACAGAGGCATTTTTTGTTTTACTGAACATCTCTTTCAGAAGTTACAGGTTTATCTCTGACTGAAAGAGCATATGCTCTTCCACGTTTCTGCTATAAAAAAACTCTGGTTCAGAAAAAGCAAGTGACTGACTTGTGTAAAGAGTCCCATGTAAAATCTCAGTCAAACAGGACTTACAGAGTCTCTTTTCTCTAGGGC